TTTCATTTCTGTTATATTCTCTTCCTTTTCCAATGGGTTTCATCCTACTATAATTTTTTTTCACTTTTTACCATTTTTGAATTAAGCACTGGTCTATAGATTATACCGACTTAAATTATAAGGTTGCATTTCGGGTAGCATAAAACATTTCCAAAGTTTTTAATAAATAACATAGGGTCGACCTTCATTTTCGTTGAATAATTGAAAAACGCGAAGATAGAACTTTTTCTTATAAGAGTTTTCTATTACATATATCGTCAGGAAGCTGTAGTTTAATTTTTATAGATTATACACGCCACACCCTGTATACTATACACACTTATACACACATGAAAACAGTCAATGTTACGACCACACAGAGCGCTACGGCTACGACAAGGACAAAACATCTACCACTTAGAAGCTGTTAGAAAGAGAACACGCGACGTCGTTAGAGCTAACGATATTCACCGACAGATGGCTGGGACGATCACACACACACCCACCACACCTCAGACTTACGATTTCGTGTACCGACACCTCCTGTCGTGCCTAAATGGACATGGACGAGAACCTGGCGCTGGAAAACGGGGTGATAGAGACGTACCTCTGGCAGCGGCACAGCAGCAGCCTGATGAAGGCCGCCCTGAAGGTCTTGTTGAACACTGTGTAGATGATGGGGTTGATGGTGGAGCTGACGTAGCCCAGCCACAGGCACACCACCACGACGTGCTGGGGCACGTGGCAGTCCGGGCAGGCAGCGAAGAGGATGTTGAGTATGAAGAAGGGCGACCAGCACAGGACGAAGGTGAAGAACACCAAGCCGAGGACTTTGGAAGCCTTCTGCTCGGTGGCCACGGAGTTGGCCGCCATGGTTTTTCGCTTCACGCGACCCGCCAACAGTCTGGAACAAAGTGGTGGTTAATATAGGACGGCGGAGAAATTTGAGTGTAATGCTAAGGTCACACATTGCGCTATGTTCGTTTTGTTTAAAAAATAGCTATTATCGTTAAGGTAAGTGCGTGTATAATACTCATTCAATGATAGATAGGATACCTAGATATTTTTAATTTAATAAAAAACAATTGATGTTTTTTCTACTTCTCAGTTATTATTTGTTAAAAATATCTAAATAATTTTAGCTACAAGAATACAAGTTAACCCATAAATTGTAAAATCTGTTAATATTCCTCCCTACGTATGACAGAATTCACTTAATTATCAGTGTTGTTCTGTGTGGCCATTTCATTTAAAGCTAGGGTCACACGGAGCGCTATAATAGCTATATTTGCTATGAATTTTAAAAATAGTAACGAGCGTTCAAATAAAAACGTGGCCAAGTTGGTTCTGAAAATTTGGACGTAGGGCGTAGCGTATAGCAAATGAACTTAAACGTCATCTGTCAAAGCGCTATATCGCCGCTATCAATTTGAATATTTTCGTTTTAAAAAGCGTTTAAAATGGTGTTTTCTCAAGAACAAAAAGTGTTTATCATAGAGTCCTACTTTAGAAATGGACGCAAGATTGATGGAATATGGAAGTATTCTATTGAGGAATGTTTCATAGAATTTCAAAATCAATTTCCCGGCGTTGTTGAGTACAAAATTTTTCAAAGTGCAGTTCAGCGTTGTGTTAATGTTTTTCGTGAAACGGGCAGTGTAACAAGAAAAGAAGGAAGCGGCCGACCTAAAAAGCGGACTGAAGAATTAAAAGAAAATGTCCAACAAATAATGGAAAATGCGCCAAGAACTTCTGTACGTGTTTTATCACAAATGGTGGGAGTATCAGTCGGTACCTGCCACACAGTGTTAAAAAAAGATTTGCGTTTGTTCTCCTATCGTTTAACTTGTCAGCAAGAACTTCATGAAGTTGATTTTCCGCGACGGGCTGTATTTTGTGAATGGTTTTTAAACAACTACGGTGAACTTCATAATATCACCTTTTTTTCTGATGAAGCCTGGTTTCATTTAAGTGGTTACGTAAACTCACAGAATATGAGAATGTGGTCTTCTGAAAAACCAGATAACTTTTTTGTCGAGGGCCCTCTACACGCTCAAAAAATTGGAGTTTGGTGTGCTCTCAATCGAAGGAGGATTTATGGACCTATTTTTTTTAATGGTACTCTTACTGCGCAAAGGTATAGAGAAGAAATTATCGCTCCTTTTGTTAACCAGCTGGAAGAAAACGAAATTACAAACTTTTACTTTCAACAAGATGGCGCAAGGGCACATACGGCAGGCGAGACGATGAATATGTTGAGGGAAGTTTTCCAAAATCGACTAATAAGTCTCAATGCTGAACATGAATTTCCACCGAGGTCATGTGATATTACGCCGTGTGATTTCTTTTTGTGGCCTTACCTTAAAAACACTATTTTTGAACTGCCTATTCCTGATTTAAACCATCTGCAGGCTCGACTTATAGACAAGATTCGTGAAATTAACAATACCCCGAGCATCTTAGAAAATGTCTTTAATTCTTTGAGGAACAGGTGTGAAAAGTGCTTGGAACAAGGAGGGGGACACTTTCAGCAGCTGCTTTAATTTATTGTTATAACAAGGAGGGGGACACTTTCCGCAGCTCCTTTAATTGTTTGTTATTGTTATCACGATTATTCTTTAAAATAAAGTTATATAGTCATTAACGTTATTGAAACTGACAGCTGCTATACAGCTCGTTGAGAAATGAGGTTAAGTTGGTCGCTATAAGCTACTCCCTACGTCCAATGTGTCAGAGCCAACTTCGACCACGTTTTTATTTGAACGCTCGTTATATGCATATTATACGTACATTATTCTGCTAAGACAGATGTGACAAGATATTGTTATAATATCGGTATAGTACGTATTCGCCATAGTACCTATGTGGCCCTAATCGTAGCTATCATAATATTATGTGCAGTATGAGCATTAGTGTGACTTTTTCTTCGTAAAATAACCAGTGTAAGCTATTGTAAGCTAAAAGAGATAAAGGTCAAAAATGATTCATTTTTCGAATAAAATAGAAGGCATTTTTTTTCGAAATACAACTGCCAATCAAATGAAATTAACAGAATTTCCGAAATATTCAGTGGCGGCGTAATTCTTGGATTTTTAGTATCTGGTTGATTGCAATTCTGTGCAATAGGTATCAGAGAATTTTTCAATTTATCCAATTATATGTCACCAGTCCAAGTTTAAACTGTGGCTCAGTATATGACGGTTTTTAGGTCCGAATTCTTGACACATGCACCAATTAACGTGAAATTTGAACAGTAAGTAGAAAATTTCTCAAGAAACAAATGTTACATTGTTCACGATGGGAGTGAAAGCCACCCCTTCTTGGGCACCCATTTTAATCACAAAAATTAATAGAGGGATCAAGTCTAAGCAAAAAATACTCTATAAGTTTTTTCCAAAAATTAATATTTTCCGAGTTATTTGCGATTGAAAATGTTGATATTTTCATCTAAAAAGTGCATGTTTTTCAACCATTTTTGATAAATAACTCGAAAACCTTGCGATTTAGCGAAAAACCCACATAAAACAACTAAAGCTTTTGAAATAACGAATCGATTCATTTTTTGTCGATTACCGTATATGTAATAATAACTGAGTTATCACTCTCTAAAGGTGATTATTTATTTTATTCAGAACATAAAAGAATGCTTATTCTATTGACATAACACTTAAATCTATGGTTTTTACGTTTTTTGTAAGAAGGGGTAGTTTTCATCCCCTAAAAACAATAAGCACACGTTATGGATATATAACTTTTGTAAAGGAGGGTGAAATGAGCTTACTCACGAATTTTCGTGAAAATTCGTGCGTGTGTCAAGAATTCGGAGATAATTTTACCGTTGTATACTGGACTACTGGCAAATGAAGCAACTTTAGATGAAGGTATATCATATTTTAGGCTCAAGATTATGTGATGGCATTTGTGTTATTTGATTTTATAGATCCTGTGTTGCAGAAGCGTGGCATTCCTATATTTATACAAATGAATACAATCCCCGCCTATGTGTATTTATATAGAAATAAGTCAGACATAAAAAATGTTCAGACCGGTCAGTATATTTTCATTATTATCCGTCGTACTTGAAAATAATCAGGTGTTATTATAACACATTCAGCAAGCCATAAATTGTAAAGTAGTACACGTATATCTGTAAAAAATCTCTAAATTAAGAATACCCTTGCTGTACGATTTTGTAAAGCCTGGTATATTTAACGTCGCACGTGCCGTGTCCGGGCCGTCATCAAAAGAGCATAATCCGGATTCCGACAAATCTGCCCGAGATTATCCCCCCTAACAAGACGTTCCTGACCACAGTTTAATCATCAACTTTCGCCATAAAGGCGGCCAATAACGGCCGTCCGCATTTCCCGAACTGATACCGGTATAGCGATGATGAAGCTCCGGCAACGAGGCGCAATTCCCATAAGTGGCTCCATTTGGAACATAAACGTCGGCGGAAGCCGGAATAAATCACACCCATTCCTAAATTTGGAGGGCCCAAATGAAATTGCACTCCGTGTAATGTCTTTATTACAATGTTTTAACCTCCTTGAATTTAGAGGTTATGTACGAAGTACACCGAGAAGATTATAGGTACTAAAAATTTACACAACTGTAGCACTTTGTCTATAGTTTAAATAGAAAAATGACTAATGATAATAATTTGATGGTTATATTTTGAAGAATTATTATAAAAATATTTTCCAACTTATTACATTTGTTGTTGTTGATTAATAGTGTATTAAACATGTTTAGAAAAGTAAAGTTTAGTAAAACTGCCTTTCTTACGAGAAATGTTTTTTGATTTACGAGATCTTATTTTTTCTCATTTTGTGTTAGTAGGTAATTATTCGCAAATAATGATTGATATAAAAGCATTAAAAAGTTAGAAGTTAAATCAAAAAACGGTTTATCGCTAATAAAAAAAAGCTTGAACTCCAATCGAAAAAAGTTAAATAAGAAAGTGGTAGCTATTAAAAAAAACCTATCGATTCGTATTTTTAAATATATGATTGCTATATTACTTTTCGAGATATATCGAAAAAACCGTCAAAAATCATACTTTTTTTTGTTTTGCGCTGTATCTCTTGCAAATTAAGATTTTGAAACTAGCTACTTGCTGTAAATGTAGCCCTCGGCAAGCAAAAATGTGCCTTTTTTAAATTAAAAAATATTAAAAATTTTTCGAGTTATTTCGATTTTTCGAAAATCGGCCCTTCTTGTTCGACGAATATTCGTAGAGAAACGAATCAGGCCTCATTTTTTTCCTTAAAAGTTGTACTTTCATGCTAAAAAAAGTGATAACGATTTTATTCATTTCAAGTGTACAAAAAACATAACTTTGAAAAAAGTAAAAATTTTTTGGTCGAGTTTTTCTTGAATATCTTTTTCGATTTTCATTTCTCGATAATGTCGATTACAGGAATCGATTGCTGGCATTTTTACGCGAATTTAAAAAAAAAACGTTGCTCTACGACCTTCTGGAGCCGATAATTTTTTTTTTTTCAAAAAATTTTACAGGCCGCTATATAAGTGCTACAGCGTTCAATCTTACAAAGATTGAAGTTGAAGACTTATATTTTCAATAAAAAAATACTGTGGTTCATTTTAGCCACTTAACGTAATGTAACGCTACTCGGCCGCTCAGAAAACTGAATTCGCGCGTTCAAAAGCGCTCTTACTTTCAAAACCTTCATTGTCTCGACTTCTGGACCACGTACAAAAATCCTTTTGTACTTAATCTGGGATAACTCGGCGAGATAAACCAAAATATGACGTTTACGACGGCCTCAAGAGCATAATTACCTTTGGAAAATGTAATTTTCCTGTGGTCTAAAATTCTCTCACCTCTTGTTAACATTTTAATAAATATTTATAACAAAAAATATCGCCATCATAAAACTT